AGACCCGGGGAAAAGTGATGGAGGTCCGGCGAAGGAAGGCAAGCTAATTTTATTGGTGAACGGGGCATTCATCAAAGTGGGCGGGGTTTATTGCCAGACTTATATCTCGGGTCTAGGAAGTTTCAGAAATCGGGAAAAAATGGATAGAGGCCGGCGAAGAGAAGGAAGTGAATTTCTAGTGGTGGGCGGAGCATGCACCGAAGTGAGCTTGTTTGTCATCAAGCATATTCGCTAGCGTCTGCGGTCGCGTCGCGGCCAGTGAATCACTCAATTGGCTGGTACCGCAACGCGACCGCGGACGCTAGCGAATCGCGCGATTCGCAAAGTCTGACATCGGCCTAAGAGACAGTTCAGAGGCCGGAGAAAACGTGGAAGATTGGCGAGGAAACAAAAGTTGGGTGGAACATGCACCGAAATAGGCGCAGTTTACCACGAGATTTATAAATCGGTCTAGAGGCAGTCCGGAGACCGGGAAAAAGCGGACAATGGTTGACGAAGAAGAAGAGTCAGAAGCCATCGGTGATGGAGCGGATAGAATCTAGCTTAGAAGATCAAATTTGCGTAGTGTATCGGGCCAAATTTGAGAATTTGCACCGCACCAACCCATACCGCCGCAGAACTGTGTGTGCGCGCAACGCGTGCGGCGCCAACTGTAAAAGGATAAAGCATTTGCCGTTGATCAATCCCTTTTTGGGATGCGGCACGCATTCTACTTCCATTTGTACATTCGTAGTGGCATTTGAATGCGATGTGGCCTATACAATGACTTGCGGGGCCAGCCGATGTACAAGTCAGTGTTTTTATCCTCCCAGACAAGTCTGGTACCAATTAACCGACCCCGGAGGGATGGAAGGCTTGGTTGGCCCGGGCGACTCACGACCCAGGATTTGATCCCCGGACCGCTCGCGTGGTAAGCACTTGCCACTACACCACTTCCGCACTTTTGGAGTAATATGATTCAAAACCCCTGATAAGAAACCGAGTGGTCCATTCGTTGGATCAGTACTCGTCTGGTGCTTTCAGCTGAATATCCTGATATCTCATTCGAGGCTGTTCACCTATGAAAAAGAGGAGCACATTGATACACGCAGCGGCGCGACGCTGTGTTTGTCCGCGATGGCACCAGGGTCGACCCTACCGTTGGTACTTTTTGGAAAATTTTCGCGACCCCCCCCCTCCCTTTTCCACCACCCTCGCCATCATGGTGGCTGTTTCTATAGTATTCATTCATGAGGCTAGAGCGACTACGATCCCCCCTACAAACTCAACAAAACTACGTACCTCCCCCCGTTGGTACTTATCGCAACATAGGGTTGACCCAGGATGGCACTAACCTTGTGAGTCTAGGAAGAAAGCTCAAAGTCCAAAATTTCGATTGTGCGAAGTCACAAATCACACCGTTTACACTCCCCCCCCCCACTCCCTTCCTGGATCAGGCTTAAAGTGCCCTGCGACTTGACAGAGCGGCCAAATGCGTAAAGCGCCGCGGCGCGACTACGGTGCTCCCCCCCAACTCACTTAACGTCACACTACGATAATGAAGCTGTACTCAGCAGCTGGCCAGGAACCATATCCTTCCTTTAGGGTAGAGTACAAAACTACCTTCAAATTTTCTCTTCCTAAGAAAATCTAAAAAATGGCCTAATTGTAATGTGTGCGTGTGTACAGAAGTAAGCAGGTATTGAAAATAAGGAACATGTCCTTGAAAACAAATAAAGTGAAAGGGGCTTTTGTTCCTCTACCCGAGAGGAAAAATAGTCCAGAAAAAAATACGGCCCCAGAAAAAATATAAAAAGTAATGTTACGAGTATTGTGATCTAGCACTAGGCAATCGATTCGCTCTGCGATTCTATCACGGATCACGGATCCTCATAAATAGTTTGGATGTTTGCCAACAACAGGGACTGATTCAGGTGAAGGCGCGCATTCTTCCCAATTTGAAGACAGGGATGGACGGCGGACTTTGCAGTCTCAAAACACTTTTTCAAGGCCTTTCTCGTTTCAACAACGGTATTCGCGATGAATTTCTCCTTCCCTTTTTGTTCGTTGGTACTCCGCATCAGGCCCTTTCAAGAGGTAGGGGAGCTAAGAAGACACCCACGTCCCATTCTTGTACCGCTGAACTGGGTGTGGTTCACTAGGACAGAAAGCGACTTTTCCCGTTTTTCGCGAAACATTTTCTGGTGCGGGAGCTCCGGATCCACTCATGATCAGCGGTGGACCTGAGGTTCCTGCAGCAAAAAGTATTTCGCCGCTGCGAAGCGCGAAAACAGTCGCTTTCGTACCTAGTGCAAATGGCTGCCCTCAACCCCCACCCCCTAGACTGCCTACACTCCCCCTGGCGCACAGGTTTATCGATGAAGTACGGGACCCCGTGAGCCAGGGGAAGTGTGAAGGCAGTCTAGGGGGGTGAGGGCAGCCACTTGACATTGCATCACAGCAATGCCCTACTTACCCGGATGACGGCCTAAAGGTTTTTTGGTTAGTTCGTGTCCACTATGTACTTTTGGGGTCTCATCCGGTAAGAGGGGGCATTGCGGTGCACGGTCTGCTCTAATGCCAATTTGGCTCAAGGAGTCCTTTAAAGTTACGAGCTGCTATCAGCTTTTTTCTTCATGGTTATTCCAGGAATCATGCTTTTATTCAACCAGACGACCTAAAATCTCAAGCGCGGCGTTTGCAAGGCAAAGTTAGTAGTGTAATGTTCAATACTCGTCATCTTCGGGTAAGCTTCACTATTATAATTATAAGTCCATCTCTTAAGAAATCATTTCTTCCGAATTACAGAAGTCTTTATTCATGCTGCCCAGCGAAAAAAGCATGATGATTTTTTAGGGCATTTTGGTTGCATGAATGAAATTTGGCGGATTCATTCCTGGATATAATTTCCTTTCATATTTGTTTCTCACTATTTGGATACGGCTAATTTAATTTTCAGATATCAACCGCTTGCCTCCTTCTGTCGTTTTGGCTGATATGGATTACTGTGCTAGCGGAGTTTCTGTTTTCTTACTCCGTCTGGGTGAGTTTGACTTTTTAGGAAAAGTTGTTTTTGTTCACATTTTTTTTCACCACTTATCTTTACACTGTAGAGCTTCGTTCAAAAAATAAGTAAGTCAATTTGATTTTGCTTCAGTCCATTTCGTTTATTTGGATAACTCTCATTCTTTTTAGCCATTGGAGACATGTTTGAGTTCAGCCGAGTGTTCGGCCTTCTCGTTCATTGTTGGAGTACAAGCCGCGGTGTTATTAATTGGGACAGCTGGTTGGATCTGCAGCTCACCTACGCTGACGACAGTCTTGATAGTACCACCTGTAAGCCTTGATTTGTTGCAGATTTTCACTTTGCTCAAAGCTCGCTATATCGCTGTTTTGCGTAAATAACCCCACATAGATTTTCTTGGCCTTTATAGTACAAAATGCCTAGTCTAATATGACGATTTAGCTATGCTTCGGTGGTGCTGTCACTGGGGTAATGGTCAGTCTTTGGATCGTGGATTTAAATGAACATGGAGAACAATGTGAGTTTTTCTTTTCGGGTTCTCGCAAACGGAAGAGATTGCTAAGGATTAACTTTCCAAAATTTTGCAAAGAGAAGTAATTACCGCAGTTATTTACTATTCGTTCGGAAGGCGGGAGCAGAAATCAAACTTCTCTTCAGCTCATAAATTTCCGATCTTGAAAACACATGCAAGACTTCATTCATTACTTCATATCAAGTATTGCATTTTCAAGTAATGTGTTTTTTCTTTTTTAGATTTAACGACTCCGCGTTTCTATGCTTCTTTTGCCTTTGGATATTATATCATATACGCCGTTATTGTTATTGGAAAATACTGCCACTACCTAAAGGCTCTACAACTCATCAGAAGCCGAAACCGTTTCAACGTTGACGTAAGCAACTTTTCAAGTTTGCTCTGTTTTTATTTCTTTGTTTCTACCAAACACAAGACTGCTCAGTTTTTCTCTTTCACTACAATTTAATTCCATTTTGCGTCTATTTCACTGCCCCATTTCCCACTTCAGGTGTTTAAAGAGCGGGTATTTGGCACCCCTCCGTTGCAGGCATTTACTCGTATGGAGTTTGCACGCTGTTCCAATTTGTCGGATTCGCACCTTGACGACATTTTCGGTGATTATGAACCGAGCGTAACACTCCATTAATGTTTCCGGTGAATCAGTCGAAAAGACAAAGTTTTTAGATGAGTTTACCATGCAGTTAGAAGATAACACTAACGCTCTTATTCGTCAACGTGTATACTCGTTTGATTCCGTTCTTATGACGATCTCTTCTTTGTGGTATTCATCCATTCCAGGTCCCCTTGCAGAACTTCAGGAAAAGATCCTAGCTTCTAGATTGTTACATATTTCTGAATTACTGAAATACACTTAATTTGACTGCTTAATTTTTTTCAACTGTGTGAGTGCCATATGATTTAGAATGCACCTGAAATATACGCAAATGTTAAAAAAATATGAAATATTTCTAAACGTTCCCTGTCTTACTTAGGCTCCATTTATTTCAAAACAATCAGCAACCTACGTCGTGCTTGTTACTCTTGTCGCCAATCTCATAAGTCTTGTATAATGTGGCTAGCTAACTCATGTACGTCTGGCTTATGGTCACCTTACATTGTGGGGTACCCGACAGGAAGCCCGTCGCGCGGCAATTATGCTTATATAGGATTTCGCGTCAAACAGTGTAGAATGTACCACATTGTACGTCCGGGTGTGGTTCACTAGAAACAGAAAAGCGTTTTTTCGCGCTTCGCAGCGCGGAACATTCTCCTCTGCAGGAATCCCGGATTCACCCTGATCATGAGTGGACCTGGAGTTCCTGCAGCGAAATATGTTTCACGCGCGGAACGCGAAAAAGTTGCTTTCTGTCTTAGTGAACGTCCTACATCACGTTGCGACGTTGTCCGCTGATTCTGCCTTCTTCGACTTGCCTCCTTTTGGGTGCCCTGCATTGCAAAGCTTCTTCTAGATATCACAATGGGGAAATCGAATAACCTCCCCAAATTCTCTCACATATCGGTCCTTTCGAGACGCCTTTCCATCACCTGTACAGGTGGTACCATACCACAGCCTCCACGAGGCAAACGTGCTGGTTAGCTCTCACATTATGTATTCAAGCTAATGATACATATTGTCTAGAGGTGTGTAAGTCTCAAGGAATGTGCTAAACAACAGAACGTAAATCAAATTTCGTGAGGATTTCCGCACGTGTTTTGGGTATTTGAGCTTGTGCGTGAGTTTTCGGTGCTTTTCATGTTTTGGTAAATTTATATTATATTACATTGAGGCGCCAGGAACGTGCAGTACTGGCTAGTTTTCATTGAACTCAGTTTGTTTTATATATTTTTACATTGTTAAGCATGTTTATACTCATTTGATTGCCTTCGAATGCTATTGTCTTCTTCCTCATGATGTGCATGCTCTTTATTCTTTTTTCGCCATGTAACATAATGTTTCAATGAAGTACTTCATAAGCTGTTATTGCCTCCCATTCGGTTGGTTGCATCTACGTGGAATGCTCATGGAACGTCAAAGCAACAATTCCAGATGAGGCCGTGTCGAAGAACTTATTCTGAGGATATAATAGGGATAGAATAGCCCGCGTCACCCTTATTGCGGCTTGAACTACGCGACAATATAACGGTAGTGCCGGAAGTGAGCTAGTGACCGCTAACGCGAGCTAATGAACGAGATACCTCACGCTTACCCCATGACACGCAAAGTGGGTGCGACGCACGATGGCTAATTCAAATCTGCGCCGGATAGTGGAGCAGTGGAGCGAGCAAGTTCAGAAAGGTTATCCGGAACACGGAACACTCTTCACGCATTTCAAAGGAGAAGTCTTTGTCTTGAAGGCTTAATCGACCGTTTGCCCTTTTTTTCATTTTCAGTCGAGTCGTCATCCTCGATTTCGATTCGACCGCTGTCCCCCCCCCCCAACACCCCCTTACCAATTTAGTTCGGGTTTATTACTGATGAGAAGTTCGTCTAGCTATGAGGAACCATTTCTGTAGTGTAGTAAGGTGCGCCCTTGCTGGATTTTGGCAGTGATGGTGCGGGCAACTCTGCACCCGTCAATCCAGCATATTGAAGGCATGAATGCGCAGGTCTTCTAACCATAAGCACAGGATATCAGCGTGACTCGTACTCCGAT